ATTTCACAATACGTGAGCAACCTCAGTTCGATCTCAGCCGGCGGCACTAATTAAATTGTTACGTTATTTAAGTACTAATTTACTCCATGCACTGTTTTCCATTAAGGAAAACAAGGTGAGGAAACCTGCATGTCTGAGGAATAGTGTATTTCGAAGACATGTGAAGTCCACCAACATGTATTGAAGTAGGCGTGCTTATCACCCTCTAACCTCCCATAAAAATGATAAAAGGCCTGTACCCAGCAGTTGGGCGTATATCGGCTGTAAAACTTTTTAATATAACTATGTACTTAATACGGTGTATAGAATTTAAAATTTTTACTATGTATGTACTTAAAATTTTGTGATCGTCCGTTTCCTTAGTTTGTTTTTTTGATATCGCATGCATGTTATTTATTCTATATGCCAAACAAACGTTTAGCTTCCTTATCGCCCGGAAGGCATTCAGACGATTACATCTCGTAATCACATTTCACAGATCCACAGCTATTTTAAAATACAAAATAAAACTGGTTTTGACTTGACACTTCTTTATTGTACCATTCATGTCTTTATGGGTGTGTAAAGCTATAAAGCTACTTAATATTTATAATCAACACCTTTAACGTACATTTTTGAATAAAAGTTGACAATAACATCATCACTTATAATAGGTATTAAGTTACTATAGTGTTTATATGTTTTTATTTTCGAATACTATTTCGTAGTAAAATCCGTTTAAGTTTTCAAGCAAAAGAAATATAAATTCTATTTTAAGCAATGCTCGATGAAAAATCGGTGTATAGTTGCATTTTTTTAACCTCGTACGTACATAGTTTTTATAAAAGGACGTAGTCGAGTGCTTTATTTTATCGATTTCTGTGATGTCCAAATTGATATCATATGTTTTACTTATTAATAAATTAGACTTAATATAATTAACAACTACTAGTAAGGTCTAAGTGATACTTAAAATAATATAGTAACAGTAGTCTTTCTTGTAATATGTTCTCTTCAGTAATGTTTAAAAATGATTCAGTTTTTATGGAATTCAAATATTTACATTGAGGGTAAAGTACAATTGACCTCAGACGAAATAAGAGTTTTTATTTAGTCTGAGCAATTGACTGCTACAGTCATCAGCGCCAACGTGACAGATCGCGATGATCAAAGAGATAATGGTCAATATAGACAGAATGAGATTATTATCAGCATGGGTGCGTTTGGCAGAAAAAAGCGCTTGCAAGCGCTTGTAAGCAAAATGGCGATCGTTAGCGGTAAGCGCTGTTAAATCGTAAATAGCTATTTTCCTCCAGGACACGATGTTAGTTTTAACCGGGGAATCTAACCTAATTTAAATATATGTTTGTAAAGTATTCATATTAAAAAATTACCAATCATGAGTTTTTAATAGCATGTATATGTTTATTCATGTCATATATTACTTAAAACTAATATTGCACAAAACAACTTATAAACTCTACTTCAAAACAAACAAATTAAATAAGCAAAATGGCGGATTGTGTCAGCGCTACTGAAGTAGCAATCGTGTCCTGGCCGAAAACTATTTTAGCGCTTATAAGCGCTTGCTAGCGCTTTTTTCTGCCAAACGCACCCAATCATTTTATCTTAGCTTTGTAGTGTAAAGAAATAACGGAATAGTATTTTAAAATGCGGAATTGGCTATATACCCATCGCAGTCGGCATGTAGAGTTGTAGAGTCAAGCGCCGACACCAGCCAGTTGGCCGTCGGCCGTCGTCAGTGGACAGCGTCACAGCGCGCACTGCACTAAGCTGTGCGACTTCGCCATGCCTCCGACTGCGATGATCGTACCCTGTGCCTGTGCGTCTCTCACAGTGTAAACAATACTTTTAAATTCCTTAAATTTGTAATTAAACACATGGTTTGAAATTTTATATAAGTTAGAACTAAAGGGAAGTATTCATTTCGCGCGTAGGAAGGATTTTCGTAGTGTTTATTGAACACGCGTTCAGTGTTTACGTTCTCGCTGTGGCATTGGATGGTGATCTCAAATTGGATTGCTGTTGCTTACGGACCGCGTACAGAGATGTCAACATCAACATCTGTTTTCGTTCAAATATTCGGATTCGATACAATATAAACTAGTTGTTGTTGTGAGTACGAATTCTACAAATACTTCCTACACGGTTTGATTTTTTGTCACAATTTTATTTATTCCATACATCTGCAGTAATTTTTCCATTTCGTGATATTGAAGTCATACCACTCGAGAAATTACAGTTGTACATATTCGAAAGTTATTATCGAGCGAGTTAGTGGCCATATTATTATGTAGTATAAGTATTCGCCGACGTATTGCTCACGGCCCACGCACTCGATATTCATCAATCATTACACATGGGCAGGCTCGTTCAACTGGTCACCTTTCCGCAGCACTTTCCAATCCAAGGTGCATCATACCACTTTTTATATTATTAATAGAGAGAATTAATTATTTGATTTGGGAGATTATTAGATTCGCTTACTTAAACAGTAAAGACAGAATGTTTTTGTGTATTTTCTAAGTCAATTCAAACGCAGATATAATCTCAGTATGTAGTTAACAAGCTCTAGTAGTTTTGTGTCGCCCCGACTGTGGTTAGCGCTCACGCGCTATTGCGTGTGCGACCGCAGTACAATTGTTAATAATTAACTGTACTTCTTTTGAGTGTCACAACTCCATCTGAGAAATAGGGCTAACTACTCGTGAACGTGAACGCTTTGCTGCGCCGAGGTTTAAGTCTTGTTCTAAAAGTTCTTACGTTAACCTTAAATGGTTTTATCTATTGATACAGGTACGTTGGAAATTTGTGGCTAAGCGTGGGCTCAGCATGTGATTACATACAGTCTACATTTCGAGCTATATCGTAATCACTCCTACATAAAACTATATTAAACATAAAAACTTCAGTAATGATATGTTTTGACACTTTTGAAATCCAGTTTTAACTTTTCGCGAATAGTAAATTGAGAGCATTGAATTGCAATAGGTGGAGACTGGAGATGTATAAGTGATGGATGTATTCTAAATTATAATGGAACAATTTGTCATGAATTTTCACAGATGATGTCACTGGAAGAGTCGTTGACCTTTCGAATGTGTTCCGTTGTTAATGATGTCACTTTTGGAATATAAAAGAGAAACTGTAGGTTCTAATACTGTCATGCCATATAAATTTAATTATTTTTTTTTTTTGCTTAATTTTCAAGTCGTACTTCGTCAATCAATTTTATAGAATAGGCAAAATAAATGAAATAAATCATGGTTTGTTACTAATAGATTGAAGACAAATTTTATCTCAAGTTCACACCTTATTGGCTTCTTACTTTTCCTTTTATATGTTTATCTCGGATTATAAGAGGCGGCGGAGGAAATAAAACAGAGGAGGTACATGATGCGCCTTTCCTAATAACAACTCTCAATAATATCTACACTGCAATAGATTACCATTAACTTATCAATTTATAATACGGAACGATTAGTGAACTAAATTTATATTTTATATGACTACTGTACAAAGAAAATTAATCTCATATCCGCATAAGAAGTAATCAAATAGGTAATAAATGATAATGCAGAGTCCATAATACAATTTATATTTTATTTATTACCAATACCTTTCATTGTTCTTCTTCATCAGCCGGTAAGGGTTCATTGCTGGCCGTGGACCTTTCTCGTTGAATCATCCTTTCATCCCTTCGGCGGTCTTTCGGACCCCTCTTTTAACTATCGTCCTCAATCATTTAACAAAAGATTATGAAACTCCAGCAATATTAATAGAGTTCGACTAGCATTCTTCTTCAAGAGAAAAATAAAGTAATTTACCTGGTCAATGATTTCATATAATAACGAGATATAAATACTAATGTAATACAAATTTGTAACACACTGTTTAATGTATTATTCAAATTTATCTGACAGCCGCATGAATTTTTAGTAAGAATACATTGCTGTTGTGTTGCGGATCCTTGGGCCCGAAGTCTCAGATCTTAGCTAGAGCTAACGTTTGCGTAAAAAAACTGTTCATTGGTTGGTTACAAAACCCCTTATTTATACAAATTCTCTAAGTTTTGTTCACTTCTTATAAATTAGGACAAGTGAGAAACATAGGCAATGTTAGTGGTAGTGGGTATACGTACTTGTTCCATTATAATTTATAATATCCAGTATAGATAATAACTTCTGTCAGTATTTGGTATAGCTATCAAATACTGGTGGTTGAAAACCACAATCCCAATATTTCATATATTTATTCATCTCTGGACTGCCTCGTTGGTCTAGTGGCTGTAGTAGTGCGACTGCTGATCATGAGGTCCTGGATTCAAATCCCGGGTCGGACCAAACAAATTAATTATTGAGTTTTTCCGTCAAGAAATTCTCAGTAGTTGCCCGGAGTCAGGAAGTTGGCGGTGTCTCAACCCCGTGCCTCGGAAAGCACGTAAAGCCGTTGGTCCTGCGCCTGATCTCTCTCCGGTCGTGTCGGTTTACCGTCCCATCGGATTATGGTAGTGAGGGAATAGAGGTGCACTCTCTATGTTTGCCCTTGTCTCCCTGTTTTTGCGCATACACTTGGACACTATAATCCTGTCCTGCGCCGATGGCTAATTATGGTTGTTACGACAAATATCCCCCTAATAAGGCAATCTATGTTAAGACACCCAGCTGCCAATGTTCTGGTTTGTTTGTTCTGTTGCCTTTTACGATACCCGCGATATATATTTTTATAGTAACAGGGTGACGAACGACCACACAGTGCAACCTGGTGGGGAGTGGATGCTGTCATTCATAGACATCTACATGCGAGCGACCGCTACGTACTGGGGAGTCGTAGATAGGTTATGCTAGGTTTTTATCAGTTATAAGACAGTACTTCGCTACTATACCACCCAACGGTAAATATTGATATGGCCAAAGACGATAAAAGGATGAAATCCTGATTTTAACGTTTTGTGAAGTTGAAGCCCAGTTTAGAGAGTGTAATTATGTGATATGGCGCAGGCAGCGAGGCGTCGCCACCACCGTGCGAAGTGTTCCTGGGCGGCTCCTGCAATCCCACTACTTGGAGGTCTGACATCGCTATCCCTTTGCTGAAAAAGATGGGCATTACGTACTTTAATCCGGTAAGTTATTAATTTTATTATCTCAAAGGTAGCATATTTTTTCTTTGATAGTTTAAAAATATGTTGTGAGATCATACGTAGTGCTACTATATGGCTACTCAAAATGAATAATTAAATTTATGAGTCATATATTTTTATCACGGATCTAAAATGCGAAAACGAGTTTCATTTAATAACTTTAAAATTAAAAATGTCTGATTGTGCTATATATTTTATATTTTAAATGTGCGGCAATAAACTCCTTGTACACAAATAAAAGAAATAACTGTTACACAGCAAACCTACTTTACTGAATATAACGTCCTTAATATAATATTTTATTTACCTTTCCATATTGTCATTGCGCTTAATATCTATTTGTCAATGCATCAAGGAAACTAGTTTATAAGCTCTGTGGTGCTCGTCATCGTTTAATATTTGTTTGTGCCACTTATTTATTTTGTGGGTGATAACACTGATATACTAGATAGTAGTTTATATAATAACGCTATCTATAATACACAATAGGCAAAAATGTAACAGTGACACGTATGCGTAGCATAGGTGTCTGCCGCCCGGGGCTATGGTTAGGCCCCTAGCCCCCACTAACCATCTAAAGTTACATCGTGAGATCGCTGTGACCGTTACAGCTTTTTAAAGTTCGCCTTTTCGATTTAATTTCGTTCGATTGCCTCATAGGGGATTTTTCATTATGTGGGAACAGCTATGCGGGTCTGAAGTCTTCAATTAACCTCTCAACCACCTAGCGGTCTCATAAGACCGCGGCCATATTCCGTCAAATCCCTAGCGGTTTCATGAGGTCGCACACACCCACAGCGCTTTAACCCATAAAAACTTATATATAGAGAATACTTTTCTATGAAGAAGTTTGGCATTATATAATCAATATGAAACACTCAATCCTCTAGTACAATAAAAAACTGTTATCCTATGAATATTTATTTATAATCTACGTTCGTTTCGTACGCTATTTTCGCGTGAATGTTATTGTGTTGGTTTTTGGATTTTTTTAGTGTTTTATTATAAAATTGTAATGAAAGTTTTTGTGTGAATATAATTTATCTTTTACCTAAATAATTTCAATTAATATATATTGAAATTATTGTGATTTTCACGCTGGCGACATTCGCATGGTACCTTTTTTTTTTGTTACCAAAATACAATAAAATCTTTTTGTAATGAAGTAAAACCTGACTTTTTGTTTAGACCACAAGATAGAGAATTTTGTATAGATTTTATAATGCTAAACTTCTTCATAGAAAAGTAGTCTCGAAATATAAGTTTTAATGGTTTTAAGTGATCGGGGATTGCCGGACGCATGCGACATCATGGGATTTTTATGACGCTTGAAGGATTAATAGAATGAGTTGCTAAGGTGTGAGCAATTTCACTACTTCTGGGCGGAGTAGATAGTCTCCCAGCGGAGTCCGCATTCAATTAGTATGTGCAGAGGCGTTTCTTCCGTTAAGGAACAAAACCGGCACACCCTTGAGTTGCTTAGTCCCAGGATGGACATGTATTTTTAAAACAACAGTGTCCAGTCAGAGCAATTTATTTTTACTTAAACCTAGGGCTTCTGAAGTGAATTTACGAGAAAAAGCTCGAATTAAAGTTTTAGAATGTTTTGAGCCTGATGTGTCACACCAGATCTTAAGTGATTTATTGTGGATAAAGAGTTTCAAGGGTCGTTCGGGCTAGACATTTTGCGATTCCACAAAATGGCTCGGGTCCAAATGGTCGGCAAGATCATTACCTACAATACCTGCGTGACCCGGAACCCATGATGTCTGAGATGATGCGTAAGACCGATGTTGCCTTGATTGAGTCGAGCATGGATCTCAATCCATAGGAAAACAAGTTCAAACCACCCTGAGCGTTAATCCTACACAAACTAGTCCTTGCCACCTTGTCAAGATAAAGACCAAGGGGTGTTAGGCATGGAAGTGCATTAAGAGCCGCTCACATCGCATTGCATTGCACTGCCATTAAGCAGGCAGTCCTTTGTAGACTATTTAGCTTTTCTGCAGTCGTCTTTTGGTTGGCATAGGTAAGAATCGGCCTCATTTTGCTGCTGTACAACCATAGGGTCATACTGGGACGCAAGCCCCAGTTGCTCTCGACCAAACGACTGCACGAACCTAAAGCAATATAAGCCTTCTGAAATTCGTTGCTGAGGTGAGACTTCCACTTCAGTTTCTAGTCGATTGTTACGCCAAAGTGCTTAACCTCAGAGGAGAATGGTACTTCTTTACCATTGAGTTTTGGTGTGACTAATTTGTTCAACCGTCTCTTTTGGATAAAGGGTATAACAGTTTTATCAGTATTAACTGATAAACTGTTGTCCCTTCACCATTTATTTATGGTGTTTAGGACTCTTTATGTGGATTAATGATAAAGTACTTTGACAAAAGCCCCTCGCAATTATCACAAGGTCATCAGCATAACCCCGTGTATCAATGTGAAGGTCTACCATCCTGTACAGTAGTTCGTCAGCCGTAAGAGTCCAAAGAAAGAGTGACAAAACACCTCCTTGTGATGAACCTCTTGTTGTGAAACAGCGCTATTTTTGCCTTTCTGTTTGAGAGTATCGACTTTACAGGCCTGATGGTTGCGCAGTCAACATTTTTAGATGTCAGGCCCCCAATCAGTAGTGATGTGGGGCTACTGTCGAAGGCGTCCTCAATATATAAAAAAGGCACAGAGAGCTTTTTCTTTATCATCCAGCGCTTTTTCGACCTTGTCAATAATACTGTTCCGGGCTGTATTCGTAGGTAAGGGGATAGTTGGCACGCTTGGTAAGCGGGCTTGCAACCGCTGTTTTTGCCCTCAGCCTGCCCATCAGCGGGTTTGTTTTCCTCAGTCGCTTCTCACGACACCCACGTTATGATATGGGGCAGTGGATATCCTTACACCGCCACTACACGCCTATTTCATATTATGTAACCCAATTTTGAGCAACAACGGGGCTCATATTCCAGATACCCCTCTTTATCCGTTTTACTTAAAAAAATTAACTGTATTATTATCACTCCTAAGGTTAGGTTTACAACTCAAAATATTAAAAATCTGCGTTTCAAACCCGCCTGTTAATCGTGGCATGTCCAATCTATCTGGGTAATCTGTAAGGCAATCTAGGGGGTGACTTATGTTGAGCAGTGGAGTTTTGGACTGCGATAAAGGAATGAAAGAATGGTAGTTATTTAAGGACAATAAGGCAGAATATGTGTAAACGGTATATGATTATAGCACTCATAAGATGCGCCTTGTTATAATACTGACATTCTTTATCTCGTTTTGATTGAAAATTAAAACTTATTTTATGTATTGATGTATACAACAGTGGTCTGAATGCACTTAAGATTTTCTTTTTACCGAACGTGATTTATTGTGGCTAACTTTTAGAAGTGATTAGTCACGTCCACCGATCAATTTGAGATATAAGATTTTTATCTCTCAATCGTGTTTACTGTGGTCTCGTAACTCAATAAATGAGTTAACGTTACTAACGTTTGATTAAGCGCTGATGTCATCTTAACTTCAAGGGCTTGCATGATAATACTTCTTTTGTGTCTATCAGTAAAGATAGTCATGACCTCATGACTGAAACCTACATACACAAAATGAAAGAAAATATTAAAACATGTTTTTATCTTCAACACATTTTCAAGTAAGGTATTCTGATCAAATATTATGTTCATACATTAGTTGATCTCCGATCTTAATATGTTAACCTAAATTGTCTAAGTTTAGCTAAAATTGGCTAGGAATAAAACCCAACATAGTTTCTGTATCATCATAGTTTCTAGTCTACTTCTATCTTAGTCTACTTTAATATAACATCTTGTCAGAAATTACTCTCAAAAATATTTACGTTATAAAAACATTACCGGTAATTATTACCGGTTTTTGTACACTCATTTTAAAGAATCTCTTCAATTAAAGGAATAAGAAGTATGCCGGTCAATGACTAGAATTTATAATGTACAATACGTTTTCTTAATTGTATCTTTAGTAATATCAAGCAAAGTTGCATAAATGTAGAAAGCAGGAAATATTTTATAACTTTAAAAAAAATATGTTATAAGTTATTATTATTACTTAGCATTAAGTTTCATAAATAGTGTAAACGTCGCGATTTATATGCTCTTTGTAACTCACAACTACTACGGTCGTTCAATAATTATTAATTTCAGATACATACGTATAACTTATATGTTAAATTAAAATACCGTTGCTTTTTATATAGTGAAAGGTTAAGCGTACTTAAAACTTCAATAATATTCACCTATGTGAAAGTTGTCTTTGACTTTCAATTGTAAGTATAATTATATTTGTGGCATGCCTTGGGGGAGGCCGGCCAATGTTCAGCAGTGGACTTATGAACGGCTTTAATGATGATAATGATTATGAAGTATGATATTCTTAAGTTATTATAATTGGCTTAATTAAAAAATCTATAATTAGTTTATAGCAGATAAGTCATAGCAATCTTAGCGGAAATTTTCGAGCCGTGACAGCGCGAGCAACCCGGGTTCGATCCCCGCCGGCACCAAAGAAATTGTAAATTGCAATTTTATACTTGCTTGGGAGTGAATCAAAATATTGTAAAAAATCTTGTATTGATGTGAAAGTAAAAATCTTTCGCAGACCTGTAAAGTCCGCCACACACATATACTGTTGTGGTAACGAGGTGGACACTACTTTGTCCTAGTTTAGTTTAGTTTAGTTTACGACGGGCTGTTTTCCGCAACTCCACGTCTAAGCGCGTATTTTGCGTGTGGGCAGGAATAATATGCTTATTCGAGCCATGATATCTCCCCGAAGAAGCGCAGCAGTCCCTTGATGTTGCAAGCAACTTCGGGGAGCGATCCCGGCGTGCCGAGATGTTTAGCCCTGTATGAAGCGACTTCTGGACATGTCAGCAACACGTAAGCCGCCGTTTCTTCCTCTCCCATGCATGCCCTGCACAGGGGGCTGTCAGTAACACCTATGGTGAACAAATGTTTGTTAAAAGAGCCATGTCCTGCATAGCACTTGTTACTATCCTGATCTGTGGCTTGTTCAGTCTCATTAGAACCTTGGTTAGATGATTGTTTATTTCAGGTAGGGCCTCTCTAGCTTGTCTACAGTCTACAAAAATTTTCCAAAGCTGAGCGTGTAAGTTATTGAAGTATCTACGTACCAGTTAACGAACGTAGCCAAAGGGGATTGGTATTATTGGTTCCGGCCCTATAGTTGCTAGGGCCGATCCCCTTCTGGCCAGTTCATCTGCTGCATCGTTGCCTCTAGATCCACTGTGTCCCTTGATCCATTGCAGAGTCACATTGTTGTACTTACATACCTCATCAATCGTTGATGGCACTCGTGTATCAGTCCCGAGTTCGTCACATTGCAACTCAGAGCTTGTAGTACCGCCACACTGTCGGTCAGTATTCTGATAGAGAAGTCTTTCATCTATCCTAGCATCTATTGCTATGGCCGCTTGGATGATACCCATGCATTCAGCCGGGAAGACTGTGTTGTGGGTACCCAGCGGTGTGCAAATGTGGATATTAAGGTCTTCAGAGAAAGCATCAGATCCCACACCTTCATTTGTCTTAGAGCCATCCGTGAAAACTTTGAGCTCTCTTGGACCCAATCCTTCCAGATGGTCAGTTTCCTTCAATTGTATCCTATACTTCTTATAGAATACAAATTGTTTTGGGATCCTATCATATTTGGCTTGTAAGATAGGAATTATTGAGTAAATTCTATCGATTATATCTGTATGGGGGACTCTACTCTTACTTAAAAGATTTAGGGTCTTGAGTCTAATGGCAGCTAAAGTTGCTTCTTGTTGTATATGTAGATGAAGCGGTGTTAGCTCCAGCATAGCCTCCAAAGCTGCTGTTGGTGTTGTCCTTATGCAGCCCGTGGCAGACATACAAGCTAATCTCTGGTAACGCTGAAGCTTTTGTATAGTGGTGGCTTCATTGGTTTTGGTCCACCATACCAGAGAGCCGTATGTGGTCATGGGCCGAATTACAGTTTTGTACAGCCACAGTATAATTTTTGGCGTTAAACCCCATCGTTTGCCGATCATGTGTCTGCACTGCCAGAAAGTTAAACTAGCTTTGCTGATTTTGTTTTCTATGTGTTTGTTCCAGTTAAGTTTACTGTCCAAGGTAAGACCTAGGTATTTTACCTCGGGAGAAAGTTGGAGTTTTGTGCTGAAAAGACTTGGAAGATGATAGTTATTCAGCATTCGTTTTTGTGTGAACATTACTATAACCGTTTTATTTGGATTAACCGTTAGGTCATATTCCCTGCACCATCTCTCGACAATACGGAGAGCCGCTTGGGTCAGGTCGCACACAATGCTTGCTGTCTTACCAGAGACCAGTATTGTCAGATCATCTGCATAACCGACTGTGTAGAAATGATTAGCGTTTAATTTACTGATGAGTTCATTAATGACCATATTACACAGGAGAGATGAAAGAACCCCACCCTGCGGGCATCCTTTCATGATCTGAATTGTCTGAGATTCACCAGCAATATTTATTGTTCGTGTACTGAGCATGTTTACTATCCAGTTAATCAGTGCCAGTTCAACATTATGTCTACTTAGGACACCTTTTATGCTGGAGAAATTTGTTCTATCAAAAGCACCTTCTATGTCTATGAAGGAGCCTAGACATATTGCTTTGTTTGGATGGCCTCTTCAATCTTTTTTATTACCTGGTGAAGTGCCGATTCTGTTGATTTACCTAAGCTATAGGCGTGTTGTTTTTCGTGTAGCGGTAAGTTAATTAGCGCCGACCCTCTCAACTCCCGTTCACACATCCTCTCCATCGTCTTTGGGAGAAAGGATGTGAGGCTAATAGGTCTGTAGGATTTAGGGTCTGTAAAGTCGTTCTTACCTGGTTTGGGTATGAACGTGACTTTCACTTCCCTCCATCCCCTAGGAACATATTTAAGAGCCAGACATGCTCTCATTATGGCAACAAGTCTGACTATTAGGACTTTACCCCCCTCTGAAGAAGTGCCGGGTATAAGCCGTCAGGTCCTGCTGCCTTATAGGGTTGGAAACTATGAATTGCCCAATGGATTTTGTCCATAGTCACCACTCTTTGTGCTAATTCCCAGTCTTCTTTTGTTGGTGTCAGTGCATCTTCATGCCGGTTCACCCTTTCAACTACACAGCAACCTGGGAAGTGAGTATCAATTAGGATGCGTTGGGTTTCATCCGGCGATGTTGAGTAGCTTCCGTCGGGTTTCTTTAAAGAGATAGATCCCGGCGTGTTCTGTCTGAGCTAGGATTTTCCTTATCCGATTGCTTGTTCACAGGTTTCTATGCTACCACAGAATTTGCGCCACCCTGTTGAGCGTCGATACCTGATACATTTTTTGTATTCAGACTTAGCTTTCTTATATAGAAGCCAGTCTTCATCCTTTGAGGTATTCATTGCCCTATTTAGGGCTTTTCTTATCTTCTTACGTTTCCGGTCTAGTTCTTTACCCCACCACTGTTGCTTTTGCTCAGCATGTTTTGGTGGAGTGATTACTGGACATGATTCATGGTAGCTATCGATCATGGCTTTAGTGACAGCTGCTACCTGTTCTTGTAGGAGCGATTGATCTGCTATGGTATTAGTTCCCCCAACACCCGCAAGCGAAGACGTCAGCCTATTGAGGTATCCGTCTAGTGAGTAGTGAGTAGTGAGGTATCTATCCGTCTTGCGGGGATTTCTCCATGGTGGTATAGCGGGGATATCGACCATCTGTGGTCTGAGCATGAGGCCTCTTTCGACACATGCCATCCCGTTATTAGCTTAGCTGCTCCTTCTGTTGCAAGTGTGAGGTCGATTATTGTGCGACAGCGTTTATTTATGAAGGTTGGTTCAGAACCAGTGTTTAATATGGTTAGGTTAGTGCTAAATAAATATTCAACTAAAACCTTACCTCGTTCACTAGGTTTTTCCATTCCCCAAAGGGGATGATGGGCGTTGGAGTCCGTCCCGATCACAACCTCTAGTCCGGCCCTCTCACAGAAATTCACCAGCCTGACGAGGTCGTGAGGGGGGAGGGGTGTCCTCCTCAGGCATGTAGACCGAGGTGACGACTAACTTTTCCTCCTGTGTGTTTTGTAATGCTACGGCATACATGTCTCTGGAACAGAAATCTGTTAGTTACTTTGTCCTAAAACTCTCTCGTAATATGAAGAGGCTTGTGTACAGGAGCGGGACGTATAAATACTTGGTGACGTGTATGGCGCAGCAACGTAATTCTATAAGTATACATTCGCCATAGGCTGAAGACGAATCGCATGAGAACTTCAGCCAACGGCCTACAGGAGGAGGCTCTAGCATTAGAAATATATTCAACCAATTTTAGACGAATGGTTGATGACGTCACCAACAGTATCATCTTCATGTGTCGCTAACTTTGGAAATCGTTTATCCGAATATCCGATCTACGACAATTGTGGAACGTTAGATTGAATTGTAATAATGCTTTACGGTTTCATAAAGTTCGTACCTATACTTTTTCAGTGGCGTTCAGCTGACAGGTTTTGTTACGCTTTGATTTTCGTTGTAAAAATATATCTTTGTGGTCATTATCTAGAGTATAAATTATTTAGCTAATAGTATAAATTGATATCCTAACGTTATTTTATTTATATAAATGATATCTTTGATTTGATATCAAGTATTGTATTGGTTTTATTTCTAAATATTATTTAAATATGAACTACGTTATGTCTAATAACAAATGAATCTGCTATTATAAAGTTAGAACGACATAGTATAATAAGCCACCGTTTATAATTCATGAATATATATCAGCATAATATGATCACAACATAAATAACAATAAAATTACATTTAATATTCGGCACATGTGTGACTGTGAATACATGATTTTTATTGCTTTGCATACACTACGCAAGATTAGTGCGCAGTACAAAGCAAGTATTTTTATTTAAGGGCGAATGTTGTGGTACTTCATGGTATCACATTATACGTATTGTAGATTTGAATTATATTTTTATATGTCAAAAAGCGCTTTAAATATAAATATCCTAAGCGCCGATTTTTCATCCTTATCTATCAAATAAATTATAACATGCTTAAATATTAAAGTACTTACAAGTATTGGATTATTTTGTATATTAAATAAGGGTCACAAAATAAATGAGCACTCAGTCCAGCTGATGATAAATGGATGCTGTGGCCCAGTAACATTTACTTAATCTTCGATTAAGTATCAAGATGCACATTCGTATTCATCCGATGACTAAGATGAAATGCCTCGTTTCCAGTATAAAGAGTCTCCGACGGTTTTGTATACTCAATACGAAACACAGCAGTATTAAGCTGCTATTAGACGCTGGTATTCTGAAAGAGCGTGGTCATTCCTCGATCAAGAATCTATTCATGTAATGTTTAATCTGTTTTTATAGTATTTTATCCTATTAATTAATGAAACTTTTATCTGCTGACTGAAAAATCACCCCTCGAATGCAAGTTTATGTATGGCCGAATATAATGTGAAATAAGAGTGTAAGTGTATGTGATATGCGTTGGACGGCAGCAAGTGGAGGACTGGTCGACGGAGCTGATGGAGGTGGAGCACCGCGCGAAGTGCGCGGCGCGCGCGCTGCTTTTCGTGCTGGACAGCGAGACGCGCGCCGTGGCCGCCAGCGTGGAGGCCGCGCACCTCGCCGCCGCGCCGCGCGACCTGCTGCTCGTGCTGCGACCCTACGCGCGCCATCAGACCATCGGCGGCGAGACCATCTCCGACCAGTGAGTGCACTAGTAATGTCCGCTCTGACAATGTCTGTCCAATTCCAAGTGCGTTACGGTTCAATTAGCTCCATTTTCACGGAGAATAAATAAAACACGCAGGCTTCATCTTCATAAGCTATAATCACCTTGTACACACAAATATGCTTCCCTATCCTTCGACTACACCTTAGCTCAGTCTCTCTTAAGAAAAATCTGGAATCAAAGAAATTTCACATCCATATTACAAAAGTAGTATTTGTTATGATACAAATTGTAAGTTTGTACCTAGAACTGGCGGTAGCAGCCAAATATTCAAATGGCGTGAAAAATTCATCATCTCTTATATGACCTGAACCAGAAAAGCCTTACGTCACCGATAGATATAATCGATGGTAGATCTAATCTTTAATATCATACGAGATATCCAAACCGGCGACGGAAACCACTAGTTTTGCCATCGCCAATCCGCCCATCTGGGATATAGAAAGTAGAAGATCTGTTCAGCCTAGCCGTGAACAAAGAAGAATTTAAGAGGATGACTGCCGACCTTCAGTAATGGAGAGGCACTTAAAGAAGAAGAAGAATCCGCTCATCAAACGATAGCTTTGGAGCAAGGAAAGGCGTGTTGGTGACATGCAGGTATTTTCACGATCTTGATGTGCTCGGCGGCACGTGGTAAATCAGCACTTGAAATTGCAATTAACAACTTCATTGGTAACGACGGCGATCGATCTCGGGTTCGCTTCCTTGCGGTTGCTCGGGTACTGCGACCGCTTTGCTCCTGAGGTACCCCGTCTCTTCACCTGACGGCCTTCGGCTCGTGGCTTCCCTGCTATAGGAGAGGACTAATGTTCAGCAGCGGATATCTGCGGACCATTAAAGATGTAGAAGATAAAACATGTACCTTTTTTTATAGGATAGGGTGACAAACGAGCACACAGTCCACCTGATGGTAAGTGGTTGCTGCGGCCCGTAGACATCTACATGTATCCTCGATTACGAATCAAAACGCAGATGCGTTGTCATCTAAGATGGACTAAGATGAAATGCCTCGTTTCCAGTAAAAAGGGTCTGCGGTTCTCTACACTCACCATACGAAACACAGCAGCATTATGCTACTATTTTACGCTGGTATTCTGTGAGAGCGTTGTCCTTCCCCGGTCGAGCCGACCCATTCGTGCTACAACTAAACTACTAATATAACTGCAGCATGGCTCTACCACGTATAAATTCCTTTTCAAGTTTTAGAATTTAGACAGTTTCGAAATTGATGCATTTTTATTTTGTTAATTGTGACCATAATATACCTTCTGTTAACTTAAGAGTTAAAATATTGTGAAAACTAAGCAAAGATTAAATTTTAAAAATTTCAAAGTGTTTACTCTGCTCTCTGCGATGACAAAATGACATACAAAGATATAATTTAAAGATTACATAATATGTCCATGTGGCGTAGTAACTATACAAAAATTGAATTTTCAACTTTAAACCATTGTTTAATTTAAATGCAACTTAGTGTTGTAAACACGAGTAAAAATTCGGAACATTATAGTTTCTTCATTTATAATACACTGCACAACTGCGTTTTGCTGCATCACCGCAACTGCGCCACATCCTCCATACGCGGGCAAATCGCCGCACAGTCGTAAACTTCCACAAGGCTGGTCGTTGTCGCTGGCACTGCCCTATTAATATCACGATATCACCTACAGGGAAGCGAATTAGGAACGCGGCGGGGGACACTCATGTGTGCGTCACGCGACTTTCCTGTCGTTTATCTAGAGCAGTGATGACGCTTCATTGTTCCTCCATAACACCTAATAGGGTATATAAATGTGTAACCAATACCATATTGTGCGCGATGACTTACTGACAACGTACACAACTTTACATGACGTGGGTGTTTACACGTCTCTTTCTTACCAAAATACTAAGATGGTTAATTTCCCGTCTGCCTGCCTGCTTAAATATAACGATTGGTTTGTCAATATTTATGGAAATATAATTTATTTATAATTGTATACTTTTTGTCTGCAGTGAATAGGCTAACGTATATTCACAATCGCACCACATATTTAGAGCGATAAGATTAAAACTACTTTACTTTAATTTATTAAAGACATGCAATTTTTTAAAATTTTATGAGTTTTGTGATGAATTGTAATGTTTAATATTATAAGTTCTTTTATTTTTGTTTTCTTATGAAAATGCCGTTTCTGGCTAATGAATAAAAAATCTAAAACAGAGTTGCCCTATGCATTCTTTTCTGATTATTATATTACATTAAATTTATACTCTTAACTAGAGATGCCGCGAGTACTCGCTATTATTCGGTATTCGGCATTACTCGACATTTTATTGTTATTTATCGAATATCGAATAACAGCTAGTATTATTCGGCATTCGGCGAATAGTTATCTACTATAAACTTATAATGAACTAAAAAAATTAGCTTAAAAATTATCAAACTTTAATTTTTCTTAAAAATTAAAACACATTTAGTATTTAATCATTAATATAAAAAGTTAGGCAAAAATCACTAATGTCGTGTTAAAGTTAATTAGTTAGGCTTTTTAATCAATATCTTCTTACTTAACACTTGACTTAACACTTGTTCTCGTTAGGAAAATTATAACGTCGACCGACCGACCGTCGTCACGTCAAGCAAGTTCATCACGAATTATAAACAAATGCGTACTGCCCAACCTTAGAACAAGTGAAATCGTTTGGGCGGAAAATATCCTACAGTATTAAATGCTGGGTTATACAAAACGAGGTATTTCCCGTAAAACATTACAATAAAAGTGATGCCAGCATTCAAAAATGTAAAATCAGAGTATAACATGAGACTGACTTCTTTAAGTTCATTGTTTTCTTCTCTCATATTAACCGCAAAAAAAGTATAGATTACAGTAATCAATAAATGATTGGTAAGTTCAAGACTACTACAAGCGTGATATTATTATTTGATATTAATTAATTTATTTTTTATATTCGTTTTTCAATGTCGAGTAATAATGGCGAGTTATTCGACTACTTGCCATAGGGAATGGCGATTAATCGGTATTCGACTATTCATCATCTCTACTATTAACGCGAAATTATTCTAAAATACATTATTCATAGAAATATTTTTCTTAAAAATGATATATTATATAAAAAAGTAACTAACAGTTATAACAATGTGTTCAATCACTTTTGGTTTAAGAAGTTATATTTCTTGAGTTACAATTCGCTGATGTTACTGCAGGGAGTACGTGGAGCTGTCTCGTGCGCGAGCGACTCTGCAAGAGGCGGTAGAGCGGCGAGGGCTTCCTGCATTCTCGGACATCCCGGCCGCGTTAAGCTGCGCTCGCGCGGTACTACGCGGTGCTCGCACTCAGCCGCGGCACTCGCTCGGCCACACCATCCTGCGTTTGAAGCGCGCGTTCGACGCCGCCGGCGGTCGGACCGCCACACTGTCGCGTGCGCGGGCGCTGGAGGCTCTGCGCGAGGCGACCCGCGCGCCGCCACACCTTGCCGAGCGCGTGTTGCCGCCGGATGACCACGTCGACTTCGAAACTTTCTGTGCCGCTGTCGCCGAACTCGCTACAGACGCCGGTTTGTGTCGTTTTTAATGTCCTATTGAAGAAACTGAACGACCTATGCCACCCTGTGCCAACGTTCTTAGTAAACATGTTTAATAGAAAACCATTAATTGTAAGTTACCATTTAACCACCATTTGGTTTTGAACTCCTGTCAAAACAAAAAAAAAAAGAAATAAAAAATGTTATATATCATCCCGGGTATGAATTACTTTATAAGTTACAACATCAAAGAACTTAGAAACATACGACTAATGGAAAGTATCGCTGGCGCTTTTATCGAACCGCAATTTGGAATTAAGATTCTAGCAGTTAGTCGTTATAATGCGTGACGTCATTAACATTCGTATATTTTTTACATAATTGTAAGGTTAATAAACAAGCACAACGGTCTACCTGATTGTAAGTGGATCATCTATCCTCAATCAAAAGTTAAAATGGTTATCGATAAGGAAAAGATTTCGTTAGGCCTCGTCACGTAAAAAGATCTATTGTGAACCATACAACAGCTATACGAAATGTTACATTCTAGTGCTATTTTATGATGGTATTATTTATGTGCGAGCGTGTGCTTAAACGACCAAGCTGATCCATTCGAGTTGCAGTCATAGCTGCAGCATGATTCTGATATGCTGTATAGTACAAAACGGGGGAGCCGGATGCTCCGAGTCTCTGGCTCCACCGTTTTGTAATATACAGCATGGCTCTACCGCGTATTTATATGAAACCTGAACTGAGCGTCCTGCTCCTGCGTTTCGTACTGTACAGCGTGGCTCTACAGCGTATTTTTATAAAATCTTATCTGAGCAACCGACTCCCACTCTTCGTACTGTACAGCGTCGCTGTTCCGCGTATTTCCATAAACTATCCCGGGCGTCGGGCCCGTGCACGTATCGTAGTACGTACAAACTGACTGTGTAGGAGTGTCGCGCGGGGGCGGGGGCGCGGGCGCGGGCGGCGGCGTGCTGGCGCTCGTGCGGCGCGCCTTCCGCTCGCTGCGCGCGCGCCTCGCCCGCGCCGCCTGCACCGGTGCGTCCGCCACGCCGCACAAATACATCGCCTGCACAAATCCATATCCAACGTAGACAGAGAAATCTATAGACAAATTGACGCCTTCTTTCGCATTCGCACACGAAGAAGATAGATTTATGCATACGTCTTGCATAGAAATGAGACAGAGCGGTGTGATCCTTTTGTCCCTCTCTCCGTGCCGGTTTTTTTGTTTAGCAAACTACACTTTGCGAAACAACTTTGACAGTTCGTAGCGATCTAAGGAGAGGTTTAAGTGAAAAAAAAAAGTGTTTTGTGAGCTTAAGATTGGTGAATCTTGTTCAGTTCAGTTCTTAGAACAATTAAATTTTTTATATAAATATGTTTAAAAGTCATAAAGATTATTGTATAACCTAAAACTAGGTTATCGTCCTTTCTCACTCGAGGCCACGCTAATCATTAGTCTACAGGTTTCTCTGTCTAAGATATCCAACATCATCCTTTTGTCTGTAGAAAAAAAAATTTTTTTCACCTACCCTACCTGTTACTGTGATCATAAGATTTTGTCGATACTAAATTATTCATAGCACTCGAGCAATTTCTTCCTTTTTCTTTTCCGAATTCTTTATCGCAAGTAATAGTGCTGATTTAACATGTCATGTCAAGAGCGCCAACATCCATTGACAGCGTGTCTGATTCTTCGCTACACCAAAACACACCCAAGCCAAAAGCAAGAAACGTAACGTGCTAACTTATCTATAGATGTCAAAATAATAACCCTGTTGAAATGGATTTCTTTTTCTTTTAGTCTTTTCATGACTTTATCAAAAAACTATATGTCTAAAACTCGAAAATTGATGTTGGTGTCATCCAATCGATAGTTTAACACATCTATCACACCAAGGCTAGGCACCATATCTTTATATTATGCAATATTTAAGTTATTATTCCGTAACTACCCGGAAATTCCACTGAAAGATGACCGACTCATTCATCTACGTCAAAAAAACCATCACGTCCATGATTCCGTTCGACGCGTCATCGAAAGCATACTATTAGATATGGCAAAGTCTGTCATTTAGACATAATAGCTGTAAATATCGCCCATTGATCTTATCATTTTACCCGACACTTGCTGCGATCATTTAATCACATTATTTGATTTAATTCTGCGAAGGGTGCCATTTTAGTGTTCGATTTATTTTCAGCTGTTTATATGCTACGTGGTTGGTTAAATATTCCGCTTATTTTATTTATATTATTTTTTTATTTTCTTTCGCTAGGTATGTTGTGTTTTGTTATTTTCTTTATTTTCGTTATTTTGTTTTCTCTAGATAGTCAAAGTAGGAACGGTCAAGAAGAGGTTAGCAGGCTAGCTGAGGCCGACGAGAAGCGCGTGTCAGCGGATAGCGGGGAGAGGCCGTTCGAGGCCAACGGGCTGCTCGCACATAACCCGCGGTTGAGAGCGTACGGCCGGAAGCTCGGGTTATTCATTCCTAAGGTAATTACTCATCACCATCTTTGTACAGCATTTACTCATCATCGTATTTGTAAACTGTACTTTGTTTCATCGTACATAAATTATTGTGTGCACAATGTGTTTCCTTGTTTATAGCGATATAATACATAAGTGTGTTTTTCTCTGATTAACTTGCATGAAATTAATCATGCGCATGATTTGTATCATCCGCATCTCAGTGACACAGTTTATTTTCTTTGTGAAAGCAATTTCAATGATGCAGTATGTAATTTTGTAAGAGTTTTTGTTATTCGGTAGTTTTGTTGTTTGGAGACTACCTCCATATTTACTCTCGTATATTGCCTAAGAAACTGAAAACATTATCTTACTGGTTATATATTTGAGACGTAGTATTGTCATGTAATATACTTTTAATTTTACAACACTTAACAAAGCACTATGTCGCAATCAATGAGGCGGTGTTTATTATTAGACTTGAATGAACTAATGTTATTTTCACATTTGGGTAAGTGCAGAAGGTAATTAATGAGATTATTTCGTTTAGATATTTAGCAATATTCGCTGTAGCTGGCGTAAATTTTTTTTGGTAAACCTAATCAAAGAACAGCTTATAAGCATGCGGTTGAGTAAGTGCGCCCTAGCCGCTGTAACCTTAAGACACGAGCAGTTCTAATCAAATTTGTCTATATTTTTTGTCCACCCAGTTCCAGAACTCATTAGAATGCCTCAGTACTTATTTGTACTTAGTCTGTTACTCATAAACACGAGCTCAATAGTAAGTGAAATGACCCTATCTTCTAGAAAAATATCGGTTTTGTCAAACCTCTTATCTATTTAAGTAATGACAAAACCAAACCTATAATACCGAGCCAGGTCGATAAGAAGCACTCGATATACGTAATGTGTGGTACTGTAAAATCAGTTAATTTCGCAACGAGATTGTTTACAAACTAAAGCTACCTACTAAATTTATATCTTTCTTTTTGGTATATGTTTGTACGGACCCATCCGATGTGTGAACCGGCACGCAATTGTCAGTTTTTAGACTGTCATCTTTTGCGTGAAATTATGGCGTCATTAATTTATATTATTTTTATATTTAATGCAAAGTATTTCCCTGAATTCATGTTCTTTCGAATCATTTCAGTGGGGTCTTATAAGATATTCAATTATTTAAAGTAGTTACGTTAAGTGAATCAAAGTAAAAGTGCGTTACGTTTTTAAGGGACCCAAAATCGGAACCGTTCAAGGTTTTTGTATGTTAGCCGTTGTTTTACAGAAATAACATGTCCATACCAAAAACCTTAAACCAAATTTTTAGGTCTGGCGATACAGCGCGTGTAGTGCTAATGTAAGGGAAGGGTATCGACTCTGCGTTTACCAAACCGCCTGCTCGGTGTGGTGTAAATTCCAAGCGAGATATGCAAGTTAGCGAATTCTGAAAGACCCGTGTCTTCCAGCAATCTCTTGATACAACGAGATGGGTATTTAGGATTTTCAAATGAGCATTGGATAATGTAACCAACTAAAAACCAAACTTAATAAAAAGTAAAAGGTGACCTCAAAGGCAAAGAAAAAATAAAACGATTTCTACAGAATAGGCTTTGAAGCCTACTTAAATTAATCACCGACTCTTATCAAAAATGCCTGGAATCCACGACGATACTAACACTCGACACAAATGTCATTTCTTTTGACAGCGAAACTAATCGCCAACAAAGCTTTTTCACATAAGTGTCATGTAGTATTGAACAGACACGATTTAAAAATGAATAAGAGAAGCCTTTTTTGTACTAAGCCAGTATAATGTCCCACTTCAAATGATACGAGGCCTCTTGAAATTTCACGGTACTTTTAAAGTAACGAGTACTGATATAGTGTTGCTGTATTTTTATTGGCCTACCTTACAACGTGTGATTGACGTAAGACTTGCCGCAGAGTAATAAGAAGCGATTGATTTATTTGAGTAAATACACAATAAAATTAAAATAAATCTATCTCGGTCACGTAAATGTCTGTTGAATTAAAGGACGTGCTATTGGAGCACGTGCCTCGTTCTTTCTCTCTCCCACTATAGTTCATATGTGACAATTAAAGAGTAACACGACATGAAATTTGAAGTGATGAAGTAGAACGAGTCAAAATGTTAATATTGTTTGTGTTATCGTTATTTTTAAGTGGTAGAGCCACGCTACAGCAATATTAGTGGTAGATCCTATAGTTGTAGCACAAATAGGTCAGCTCGACCGGGAAGAACCACGCGTTAACAGAATACCAACGTAAAATAGCTTAACGATGCTCCACGTGTGGTGAGTGTAGAGAACTGGAGATCCTTTTTACTGAAAACGAGAAATTCCATATACGTCCTCATTGTTGACAATACGTCTGAATTTAGATTCGTAATCGAGGACATCAACCACTTACCATCAGGTGAACAGTGTGTGCGTTTGTCATCCGCACTATAATCCTGTCTTGCTCAGAAGACTAGTCTCCGTTGAGACTGCCCACCGTAACCGAAATTTAGTCTGAAGGAAATCACTACCTACTATTAGGACTTAGCCTTGGTAGAGATCACTATAGATCTTACTGGTTGTGACGATACCGGTCTTATTAAAAAAATATCGCTGTATCGCAAACATGGCCGTGTTTTACGTGAATATGTAAAGAATTTTTTCATTCTTTAGCTATCGAGTAGTCTAATTTAATTTTGGGCGATAGATATGTAGCTGCAACACCAAATTGTATTTCCTGATTTTGTTCTACGGAAGGTCCACACTATGAAACCAAATTTAAAGTCTTATTCACATTAAAAACGTTACTTTCAAAGTCGACCACCGACAGAAAACGGTTAGTGATGCAAGGTTAAGATGATGATAATTTTGCAGAACAGCGGCAACCGGGCATCGGAAGGGGTCGGGCGTGACGACGGGCGGCGCGACAGGCGGCAACGGGGGCGGTGGGGGCGCGGGCGAGGCCGTGCTGACGCCAGGCACGGAGCGGCGGCTGGAGCGCCTGCCCGCCATGCTGGCCGCGCACACGCACCACGTGTACCTTGGCGGCGCCTTCCCGGTCAGTGCATTACACTACCATTCCTTTTCATCGTCATAGTGACAACACTCACAGCGTTGCCAGGTGTCCCGATTTACGCGGGACGTCCCGATATTCAAGGGTCTGGTGACACGTCCCGATTTACCCTTGATCGGGACGCCAAATGTCCCGATTTTCACTAACCTCCTTAGTCTGTACTTTAATCCATAATTTTGACAGCAAAAATTATTACACCTGTTAGCTACATTATAATATTTTTACTACGACATTTTCTCACCAGTCGAGAAAAAAAACACAAAGGTTTTAAACAGAATTATATTATAAAAATTATATAAAATTATAAAATTCAGAGACTGCAAAAAAAAAAACAAATAGTTCAAAAATGTTTTGATTTGCCTAAAACGAAAAAACATAGAGGAAGAAAATGCAGTTTTTACGACGATGTTTGGATGAAAAGTTATTCGTTCATGAGATCAGACCCGAATAATAATTATAAAGCACCAAAAGGCTACAAAAATTTGTATTTTGTAGCCATTATAGCTGTCCCGATGTGAAGACCAAATTCCCGATTATTTTTACCTTCCGTCCCGATATTTTACTTGCTAGACCTAGCAACACTACTCACAGACCACCATTTGCGTATTGTTGCCGATATATAGGTCCTTAGGTCGCACCGTCCGTTAGACCGGTATTCAGTAATGACACTCATATCAGGTGAACATTTTAGCCGAGACCATATTATATTACACAAATTTTTACAACTATACGTGATAGAGCCATGCTGCAGCTATATAAGTAGTATAGTTGTATCACAAATGCGTCGGCTGGACCGGGGAAGGATCAGACCCTCACAGAATACCTAGTGAGTGTAGAGAACCGTAGATCCCTTTTTGATGGAAACGAGGCTTTTCATCTTTGTCCTCATGGGTGACAATGCATCCACGTATTGATACGTAGTCGTGGATAGATGTAAATGTCTATGGGCCACAACGTCGACTTACCACCAAGTGGACTGTGTGCTCGTTTGTCACCCTTATCCTATAAAAAACGAAGTAAAACTGTGGTTCTTATTACAATGTTTTATATGCCATGGAATTGTCAGTAGCGCCGAATCGTCTGCGTCATTATTGTAGCTTTACTTGTACCGGTGAAAGTGTAAAGGCCACAGGGCCGGCGGCAACATACACCTCGTAAAAAGAGGACTATAATTGTAGTGCCTCGAACGTTATGTTTCTGAACCCATGACAGATTCATGTTAAGAATGATATTAAAGTCTCATAATAACATAAATAATGGAAAATTAATATTATGGTAATTAACCAGTTTTAATTTAACTTAAAAACCTTAATTTAACTTAAAAATTTAACTTAAAATACAAAGATATCCATTATTTAAATCATAGAATACTATATTACACAATAGAATGGCTGTCAACCTTATTTTGTACGAAGATAGGTGTCGCCGGGAGCACACATGCAAGCAATTACGTCGTATTATTACTACTACCAACCCGATTCGCTGTGTTGACAGACAGATTTTAATACATATTTATTTGTAAATAGCGTGCAATTTGGCATTTTCTAAATAATTTGCATGCGAAATTTGAAAACGATTGTAACATCAAAACACATCTCGTGTTGACATTTTATACGTGTGAATTGACGTGTTAGTGACATTTTAGTAGCTACGTGGGCTATGTATGTAATTAAAGTATTCTATGATTTAAATCGTTTATTTGTTTAATGATTTTACTGATTTTAACATGTTATTTTATGTTAACGACGCCGATTAACGTTTCCGTTTCAATTCAATGCCAATCCAGGCTTAGACGTCAAACACCTCGGAGACCATGTGTGCTGCAAAGCACTCAAAATTCGAGAATATGATAGTAAATTTAAATAAACACGATAATATCTGTATAGACTAGTATCACATTAATCTTATGAGAGATTATGAAATTTATAATTTAGTCTTATAAAATCCATTGTAATGTCGTACAATACATTTTTAAATTATATTTAAAAATAGTTTTCACCGAGGTTACAGAAAACGAGTTGCAGTACAAATACATACATAATGTATGTGTTTAATGTAACCGCATAATGTTCTTAACTCAAACAACCCGTACTGATTTTGCACATAATGAGCAATATTAAGCAGGCATGCGCATAAATCGTGGCAAAGCCGAATGCACGTTACTCGTAATCACTTTGTAAACATTTAATGCTTTTGGCTACATGTGGTAGTGTTGTGTTTGCAATAATACACGTTTGTTAGCGAGACTACAACTGATTTAGTCCTCTCATAACTACCTACGTATACAATAATACAAATACCCACAACATCTCCTCTTATTAAGAAAGATACAATATCATCCATCCCCCTTATATAAAAAAATACTGAAACAAACGAAATCTCTTATAACTCTAACTTAAAATTTATTATATGTATACCTTAAAATTAATTGATTAAATTTTAATGTTGAGTCGTCGGGCCTTACTACGTGTGAGAGGGTGTGACCATGGTGTGGATGCCTCATTATTATTATCATTGAGCACATTTTGAGCAATTTTATTTTCACTTAAACTAGAATTCTCGTTACGCTGATTTATCTTATCAGGGCTTTGTTGTGATTTTATGCATTGCACAAAATTGCCACCCCCTCCATTTCCAGTGATGAAAATATCTTTTTTAATATTTTTAAAATCTTGATTTGAGTAAGACTTAATTAAATGACGCCTATTGCGTCGGATTGGTCTTCCTAGCTTATTATTTATTACATATGAACGAGGAGTATCACCTTCACCTATTACAGTAGCGGGAGTTCTTTTCTTACCATCATACATATACATATTACTTCGTCACCAATGTTAAGTTTAGGCAACGGTTTACAATGTTTATCATAGTACATTTTTGACTGCTGCTGTTTTTGCAGCATTGTTTTAAACGTAGATGGGTCTACAACTTGTGATTTTAGTAAATCTGCACAAACTGGTAATTTACAACGTAATCTGCAACCCATTAATAATTGCGCGGGAGAGTCCAAACCATGTGTCGGAATATTTCTGTAATTCAATAAAGAAAGTTCAAAGTCACTATTCCCCTTAAGAGCTTTAATTAACAAAGACTTAACGCTTTGCACCGCGCGTTCACTTTGTCCGTTAGCCTGTGGATAGTTCGGTGAGGATGTAATGTGAGTGAAGCCCCAATCTCTACTAAACTGCTTGATCTCGCGACTAGTATATAGAGTGCCATTATCACTTATAAGTATTTCAGGTATACCGTGTCGTGAAAATATTTCCTTCATACCGCGTATAACCACTTGTGATGTAATATTTTCTAATTCTTTACCTCAACATAACTATAGTAATAATCAACTAAAATAAGATAATATTTCTTTCTACATTCAAATATATCAGACCCCACCTTTAACCAGGGCAAATTAGGAATTTCCACTGGAATCATGGGTTCTTTAGCTGGTGCGTTTGAACTCTCCCTGACACCGAACAACGTTTCACATACATTTCTATGTCACGTGACATGCCTGGCCAAAATATAACTTGTCTTACGCGTCGCTTGCACCGATCTATACCTAAGTGCCCTTCGTGCACAATTTTCAACATATCTGTTCTCAGGGAACGAGGGACTAAAACAACAGTTTTTTAAAGACCAATATTTTTTAAGATTTTCTATTACGTTATACTTATCATTAGGCCAACCTAATTTAATATATTTTAGTAAGGTACATAAATAAAAATCTTTTTTCGTTTCATTTTTTATCAGTGTTAACTTGCTATTTGAAATTGGAATACTGTTTACAATTAATTTATTTAATACAGAATTTTTTTTATCTAATTTATTATCTAATACCAAGTCGGGAAGCGGCGCGCGAGACAGTGCATCTGAAATATACATATATTTTCCTGGTTTATACTTAACGACTAAGTCATAGCCTTGTATTCTGAGCATCAACGAATGGCATTTTAAAGATACTTCTCAAAGGTTTATGATCTATTTCTACGACAACATTATTTTTTGTAAACATATATTGCTGAAATCGTTCACAGGCGAACACAATTACTAACAATTCCTTTTCCACTTGTGCATACCGGCGTTACGTAACTGTAACAAAAAAAAATATTAAAATAGGTCTCCTGAGTTCAATGACAAACACACGTACACGGAAGAATTATATTATATGCGAGTATATGTGAAGTGTATGAGTAGAAGAAATCAGCCAGGAAAACATATATAAGAAATTCTAAACAACGCGGGACGTATTGAAAAGCCGGAAATGACCTCGCTAGCATAGTCACTCACGCTCGTAATATTGTAATTTTATAGCATATATATATGCGTACGTAATTAAAGTGAAGACTAATACAGAAAATAATCAACCATTTCTCTGTTGTGCCAACTTAAACATTTAAAGATACCCAAGTTTCAGCTTTTAAGTAATATGGACAAAATGTCACGTAGTTATAATAAATTTTAATGTAAGTTCAGTGTTAAATAAATCGATAGTGACATGTATTTCCTGAAAGCTTTTCTGTGCTTGGTTTTGATTGTAAAGATTTACCACGGTTATTAACTATAATGAACGTTGGAAGCCTGGCTTGATACGGGTGATAAGTTTTTTTTTTATATTTATTTCTTTAGTATAATTATAGCTTGAGCCATTCTAGTCATCTTTGTTTGAAGTTAGTAGCAGCTGTCGACGGGTTGTAGAAGTCACATATTATTAGATGGATTTTAGCTGATTTGTAATTTTATTGTTATAAAAAATGAGAAAATATACAAAACTTGACCTGCACAAAGTTAAGAAATATAATATTAAGGAATTTATGTATGATAATAACCCCTGGGAAGAGTGATCGCTACCAAGCTATTTCTAATTTGTTTTATGTTGTTAATTGGTCCATACATGATTGTAAGCTGTTATTTAAAAAAAAAGTAACGCTGGGTTTTTCGCTGGTTCTTCCCAGGACAGAGGTTTTTTTTCCGAACCAGTGGTAATATAAAAAAGTGACTCAAAAAGTATTATTTATAATATATATTGAATTAAAAGTTTGTTTCTGCAACAAGAAAGAGATTACTATGAAACTCAATATTAAAAAAAAACAATCAAATAAAACAATATCAGATGCGTATATTACATTTCAATATTATGCTCCTGATACATATGGTAAATGCATAAGGCACTAAAATTCTAATATTCATAGACCAGTGATTGAAAGCAGTAAAATTACTGCTGAAAAATCTACGCTACACTTATCTAGAGTGGTGAATATGAATTTCCAAGAAATGCTGCAGAATTAAAATGTTTCCAAAAATGAATGGCAGCTTTAGACTTACAATAGCGATGATGATGTATGATTTATAATTCATTTCAATTACTTATAACTATCAATCCATAAAAAAAAACAATAAAAAACAACTGCTGAATATAGGCCTCCTAACTAGATTGCTCCATTCAAAATGGATATGTTTGCCGCAGTTGTCAGTTGTGAGGCAATTTTTATTATATTGAGTTGTCATTAAGAAGGCGCTGTTGCTCATGTTCGGTTTCATATATTTCCATTGCCTATTGCGACATCCATGGAACAATATCTCCACTACACGGCGATATTTGACGAACATCTAAACTATAATGGACATGTTTAACATCGCTATTATATTATCATATGTACATATATGGTCATAGGTATATGATTCATTATCAAAATCATGACAGTTTAGTTTACTATTTGTTTATCATAGAAAAATTATCGTTGGGTTTACCGCAATTTATGCCGAGTGATCACCATTTTTATATTGTTGTGCTGTGTACGTCAATGGTATATGCCATTAATAAAAAATTCTTTCTATGTTTACAAACTAAACTTTTGTTTTATATATTAATGATGAATGATACGATCATTATCATCATTACCATCACAGCTCTTCACAAGTCTACTGTTGAACATAGACCACCTCCAAGTAATGCCACAAAGGACGGTCCTGAGCTACCTGCAACCATCGACATCCTGCATGTCTTACCAGGTCGTCACTCCATATAGAAGGAGGCCGCCCCACACTTCGCCTACCGGTAAGAAGCTGCTACTCAAAAACCTTACTTCCACATCAGTTGTCGTAGTAGTTCTTCGAGCTACATGGCCGGCCCATTGCTACTTCAGCTTACTAATCCGTTACATAGCTCATGTTGGTTACTCTGATTCTATTTCGAATAACCTCATTTCTAAGTTTATCACGCAGAGAAACCCTAAGCATAGACCCTTCCATATCTCCCTGAACGACCTTGAGCTTCCTCATAATGCCAACAGTGACGTACAACGTCTCAGATCCATATCACAGGCAACGCGCGCTGATTGTACAATCTCGTTTTTATGTTATGAGGTATACCTGACGAGAAGATGTGTCGTAATCTCCCGAACGCTGCACAGCTATATTGAATCCGTCGATTGACCACTCGGTCGAAGTTGGACTTACCTAGTCTATTTGTCTCAGGTAAACATACTCGTCAACAACTTCAAGATTAGTGCTCCCATCAACTACCGGCACATGTGTGACATGGACATTAAACATGATCTTTATTTTGTCCATGTTCATCTTAAGACCTATCCATTGGGAGACACTATTGAGGTCATTGAGCATAGTGCTTAGGTTCTCCAGTGATTCTGCCATAAGGACTATATCGTCGGCAAATTGAAGGTGAGTGATGTACTCCCCATTGATGTTAATACAGTATCCTTTCCAGTCCAGTAACTTGAAAATATCTTCCAATGCAGCTGTGAAGAGTTTCGGAGATATAACTTCACCTTGTCTTATACCTCTCTGCAGTTGGATAGGTTTCTTACTCTGGTTCTGTACTCGGATAGCCATCGCTACTGTACAAACATTTCAGCACTTCGATATAGTAACAGTCAACTTTGCACCTCTAAAAGGACTATAGCAGCGCCCTAATTTAGACGGAATAAAGGGCTTTATCGTAATCCACATACGCAAGACAAAGTGGCAGATTGTGCTTTTCGATCTTCTGTACGATTTGGCGCAGGGTATGTATGTGGTCTATGGTACTAAAGCGTTTTTGGAAACCGGTTTGTTCGGGAGGCTGGAAGTAGTAGAGACTGTGTGCGAGACTATTCGTAATGACTCTCGAAAACAACACGTAGACACGGCTCAGATGACAAACATGTCTGTAGTTCTCAAGAGAGCGTTGTCGCCTTTCTTGAAGAATAAAATCACCGTACTTCTGCTCCACGCCTCCGAAGGATGGGACCATGCAGGACAGAATTAAAGAGCTTCTGAAGGACTTCAAGTACTCGTTTTCCACCCTCTTTCAGAAGCTCAGCTCAGCTACATACTCGCTCGGGGTCTTGCCCTTTTAAAGTGCTGGAGAGCCCTTCTAATTTCTTTCAGATTGATGTCCTGAATATCATGGGAATAGTGTCGGATAAGACTTATTTGATTGTTACTCACACTTGCATGTGGCTCCAACGATGACGAATACTGCTGCCTATACCTAGATCCTCTCAATCTCATTCAAAATCTCAGGTGTCCCGAAAAAGGTGCTACCACATTCGGTTTTCAGCTTCGACAGTTGGCTTTTTCTGGCAGACAGATCTCTGGCAAAGACTTTGGAGCCTTGATTCCGCTCGATCGCGTCTTCAATACGAGCTGTGTTGAAGGTGGATAAGTCCCGCTGCATACGATTGAAGATCTGTCTGTTCAATAGCCTGATACTGTCATATCTGCTGAAGATTGCAGCTTCATTTTCCGTTTAACAGCCATGAGATCAAAAGTGTGATCGGAGAGGTTTTGTGTCCTGCGACGGGTTTTGCAGAACTTAGCCCCGACTGCATTTATCGTCTACTGCATTGCAGGCTTTTTTTTTATAGGATAGGGTGACAAACGAGCACACAGTCCACCTGATGGTAAGTGGATGCTGTGGCCCATAGACATTTACATTTAACCTCGATTAAGAATCAAAATGCAGATGCGCTGTCACCCCTGAGGACTAAGATGGAATGCCTCGTTTCCAGTAAAAAAGGATCTCCAGATCTCTACACTCAGCATACGAAACACAGCAGCATTAAGCTGCTATTTTACGGTGGTATTCTGTGAGAGCGTGGTCCTTCCACGATCGAGTCGACCCATTCGTGCTACAACTATATTACTAATATACTCGTAGCTGGAGCATGGCTCTACCACGTACCACGTATAAAAGGCTCCAGGTACTGAAAACAGGTTTGTAACTTGAGCCGAAAGTTTTCGGGACTTTGGTATGGTGGTAGCATATATACAGGTGATACATTATAGTTATAGCTTATTATAGCGTTTATGTAAGGGTTGGTTGGTTGTTTGGTTAGTCGGGCGGCGCGCGCGCCGAGGAGATCCTGCGGCGCGAGGGCTTCACGTACGTGGTGCCGCGCGCCAACGACTACACGCGCATGTTCTCCGCGCCCGCGCGCCGCGCCGCGCCGCGCGCTGCCTCGCCCGCCGGCTCGCCCTGCGACAAGCGCCCGCGTTCCGCCGCGCGCACCCCCGTGAGTATTACACCCACTAGCACTCTCCCGTAAACACTTCTATGTCTACTACTAGACAGCCTCTGTACCTCATCATCAGGTCTGCAGCAGTACACTGCCGGATGTAGGCCTTGAACACGCATTATGCAACATTCGGAAACCTTAACATTGAAACTTTCGTCATCATCATCAAGTATCTCATCCATTCGCTCCCTAGCAGATATGATCTGCAATTTTCAGATCCGCGTTGGCTGCTCCCCAGGCTGAACACCTCGCCAGGTTGGAGGTCTCCCTTTTTCAGTCCACGGCCAAAATTTACTTAAAGTCAATCAAAATACACGAAAGATATAAACACAAGCTAGCAACGACTTTTTTCAAATCCCTTGTTGATCATGTGCACCATTTTTATATACGTGGTAGAGCCATACTGCAGTTATATTAGTAGTATACTTGTAGCACGAATGGGTCGGCTCAACCGGGGAAGGACCACGCTCTTACAGAATACCAGCGTGAAATAGTAGTTTAATGCTGCTGCGTTTTGTATGGTGTGTATAGAGAACCGGAGACCCTTTTTACTGGAAAAGAGGCATTTCATCTTAGTCCTCATGGGTGACAACGCATCTGCATTTTGTTTTGTAATTGAGGATAGATGTAGATGTCTATGGGCCGCAGCAACCACTTAACATCAGGTGGACTGTGTGCTCGTTTGTCACCCTATTATATATATAAAAAAAAATATAAAACATTCCTTCAAAGTCAAAGCCCTGAACCACCTGCATTTATTTTTTCATTGAATGTTTTTATTTTTTCAATAATACAAAAATTTTACTTTTAAATGTAATAATCTCCATAATGTTCGTGTTCCTCCAGCCCCTGTCACCAGACGAAGAGCCGGTGCAACTTCGTGAACGTTCAACGGACGCAGAAGTCGCAGACCGCCTCAGCGCTTCAGACTTTTACACCGTCAGCGAAGACGTCACACCGCAGCCGTTTAAAGGTTAGCAGGTTTTATGTGTCCAAACTGTGACTCTTGTAAAGTGTTATCGTATTGATGGCGGCACGGATGGGTAGCTTGAGCTTGGCCTTCCCTAGAGAAGTGATATTTCAAGCTTGGTATTCGCAGTTTTTTTTATTACATTAAGTGGTGTTGCATATTGAGGGTATGTTCCAAAATAGAACCCAGTGTACTGTCCAATGCAAATGACGTCATGAATTGACGCTATACTGGTGATTCGTTCCAAAACATAGGACAGTATATGACGTCATACATTTGCGACATACTGGAAAAGTGTTGGCGATTATTTTGTCATTTTGTTCTCCAAAAATCATTATATACTTCTAATGGAGATACCAGCAATTATTCTATAATTTTTTGTATTTGAATAAATAAAAACAAATTCTGGCATAATTCATTCAGCGTACACACAATAAAAAATTGTTTTATAACCGGTTATCCGACACAATATGGCGGTGGCACGCCAGTACAATATAGTGTCAATTGATGACGTCATTTGTATTCGGCAGTATACTGAAAACGTTTAGGAACATACCCTGAGTTAGCAAATGTATTTTTGGTTAGTAGACAGAATCCACAGCAAATAAATGAAATCCTCCGTTCAAAAAAACGTGATCCTAGTGACACTAGTCACACTGGATAAGTATATAAGGGTCACGTTTTGTTTACATCTAAACTACAGTAGTTTTAGTTTTTTAAACAAAATATGTTAGTTTCAGTTCATTTATAGCTTTGACAGTGTAATCATTCAACTATAAACAATGATTGCATTGCATTTATTTTTGCTTCAGAGGCAGAGAGAGTTTTGTTATCAAGTCAACTGCATTTTAATGCGGTTGTAGAGTAATATAATGAACTTGGAACTATTACTGTAAACTACTAATTCCGTGTTAGTCCTCGGGGGTGACAACGTCTGCCGGACATAGCGTCCTCGCACTTAGATGGATTGTATTTTCGTTTATCACCTTTATTTTATTAAAGAATGATCAAGATGGAATAAGATATTAAATAAAATGTGGCAATATAACCAAATTCGAAAAACAACGATTTGTGATTATTGTCTGAATAAAAGTAGCGGTAGATATGTAATATTGTTATTATTAGTCAATAAAATATTTACAAAGGGTTCATTATCATAGTTGCATTACAGCTTTTCACAAAGCCTCTGCTGGACGTAAGCTTCCCCTAGGAATGCTAAAAAAGCATGGTTTTATGTCACCTGCACTCTTTATCTCCTGCATCTCTTATCAGGTCGTCACTCCATGTGTTCGGGGCTGCACTTGATACATTTGGTTTATTTATACGAAGCTGTCACTCGATAACCTTTCTTCCCCATCGGTTGTCGGTTTTTATAAAGCATTGCGTTTGTAAAACAGACTTCTATGTAACACTACTAGAGCGGTAATTTAGAACAAAAACTGTGTCACAGCTGTGGATTACGCGGATTCGGAGTTGGCCGCGGGCGGGCAGCTTGTATTATAAAGCATTACGTATGAAAACAGACTTCTATTTAATACTACTAAAGCGGTAATTAATTTAAAACAAAAACTGTGTCACAGCTGTGGATTACGCGGACGCGGAGTCGATCCGCGGGCGGGCAGCTTGTATTATAATGCATTGCGTATGAAAACAGACTTCTATGTAATACTACTAAAGCGGTAATTTAGAACAAAAACTGTGTCACAGCTGTGGATTACGCGGATGCAGAGTCGACCGCGGGCGAGCAGCTTGTATTATAAAGCATTATGAAAACAGACTTCTATGTAATACTACTAAAGCGGTAATTTAGAACAAAAACTGTGTCACAGCTGTGGATTACGCGAATGCGGAGTCGGCCGCGGGCGGGTAGCTTGTATTATAAAGCATTGCGTATGAAAACAGACTTCTATGTAATACTACTAGAGCGGTAATTTAGAACAAAAACTGTGTCACAGCTGTAGATTACGCGGATGCGGAGTCGGCCGCGGGCGGGTAGCTTGTATTATAAAGCATTGCGTTTGTAAAACAGACTTCTATGTAACACTATAGAGCGGTAATTTAGAACAAAAACTGTGTCACAGCTGTGGATTACGCGGATGCGGAGTCGACCGCGGGCGAGCAGCTTGTATTATAAAGCATTGCGTATGAAAACAGACTTCTATGTAATACTACTAGAGCGGTAATTAAGAACAAAAACTGTGTCACAGCTGTGGATTACGCGGATGCTGAGTCGGCCGCGGGCGAGCAGCTTGTATTATAAAGCATTGCGTATAAAAAAACAGACTTCTATGTAATACTACTAGAACGGTAATTTAGAACAAAAACTGTGTCACAGCTGTGGATTACGCGGATGCGGAGTCGGCCGCGGGCGGGCAGCTTGTATTATAAAGCATTATGAAAACAGACTTCTATGTAATACTACTAAAGCGGTAATTTAGAACAAAAACTGTGTCACAGCTGTGGATTACGCGGATGCGGAGTCGGCCGCGGGCGGGTAGCTTGTATTATAAAGCATTGCGTATGAAAACAGACTTCTATGTAATACTACTAGAGCGGTAATTTAGAACAAAAACTGTGTCACAGCTGTGGATTACGCGGATGCGGAGTCGGCCGCGGGCGGGTAGCTTGTATTATAAAGCATTGCGTGTGTAAAACAGACTTCTATGTAACACTACTAGAGCGGTAATTTAGAACAAAAACTGTGTCACAGCTGTGGATTACGCGGATGCGGAGTCGGCCGCGGGCGAGCAGCTTGTATTATAAAGCATTGCGTATGAAAACAGACTTCTATGTAATACTACTAAAGCGTTAATTTAGAACAAAAACTGTGTCACAGCTGTGGATTACGCGGATGCGGAGTCGGCCGCGGTCACGGGCAGCTTGTATTTATTAAGCATTGCGTATGAAAACAGACTTCTATGTAATACTACTAAAGCGGTAATTTAGAACAAAAACTGTGTCACAGCTGTGGATTACGCGGATGCGGCGTCGGTCGCGGGCAGGTAGCTTGTATTATAAAGCATTGCGTATGACAACAGACTTCTATGTAATACTACTAAAGCGGTAATTTAGAACAAAAACTGTTTCACAGCTGTGAATTACGCGGATGCGGAGTCGGCCGCGGGCGGGTAGCTTGTATTATAAAGCATTGCATGTGAAAACAGACTTCTATGTAATACTACTAGAGCGGTAATTAAGAACAAAAACTGTGTCACAGCTGTGGATTACGCGGATGCGGAGTCGGCCGCGGGCGGGTAGCTTGTATTATAAAGCACTGCGTATAAAAAAACAGACTTCTATGTAATACTACTAGAACGGTAATTTAGAACAAAAACTGTGTCACAGCTGTGGATTACGCGGATACGGAGTCGGCCGCGGGCGGGTAGCTTGTATTATAAAGCATTGCGTTTGTAAAACAGACTTCTATGTAACACTACTAGAGCGGTAATTTAGAACAAAAACTGTGTCACAGCTGTAGATTACGCGGATGCGGAGTCGGCCGCGGGCAGGCAGCTTGTATTATAAAGCATTGCGTATGAAAACAGACTTCTATGTAACACTATTATAGCGGTAATTTAGAACAAAAACTGTATCACAGCTGTGGATTACGCGGATGCGGAGTCGGCCGCGGTCAGGCAGCTTGTATTATAAAGCATTACGTATGAAAACAGACTTTTATTTAATACTACTAGAGCGGTAATTTAGAACAAAAACTGTGTCACAGCTGTGGATTACGCGGATACGGAGTCGGCCGCGGGCGGTTAGCTTGTATTATAAAGCATTGCGTATGAAAACAGACTTCTATGTAATACTACTAGAGCGGTAATTAAGAACAAAAACTGTGTCACAGCTGTGGATTACGCGGAAACGGAGTCGGCCGCGGGCGGGTAGCTTGTATTATAAAGCATTGCGTTTGTAAAACAGACTTCTATGTAACACTACTAGAGCGGTAATTTAGAACAAAAACTGTGTCACAGCTGTGGATTACGCGGATACGGAGTCGGCCGCGGGCAGGCAGCTTGTATTATAAAGCATTACGTATGAAAACAGACTTTTATTTAATACTACTAAAGCGGTAATTTAGAACAAAAACTGTGTCACAGCTGTGGATTACGCGGATACGGACGCAGCCGCGGTCGGACATTCTTGTACGGTAAATATGCCTCGCAGTTCTATTTTAATACGAAATAAAGTCACATTTAACTAAATGGGAGTTAAATTATCGAAAACCACGTTAGTGGCTTACAAAACATAGAACTAGTGCTCTCGCCTTAGCGCATTTGGTTGAGCGACAGAGCGAGTTACGGAGAATTCATCGTAACTTAGTTCGTAATATATTAAGGCCGCTGAACCCCACCTGTACTATTTATTACTTGTAGTATACATAGTCTTTCGTAAAAAAGAACTCTTTACAATCGTAGCTAATCCTCTTTTTCTCATATTTTTTTTGCTTACGTCAAAATAATTCACGTCTATAATAATAGGAGCATCACACTGTTTGTGGTAATTTCCAAACGTTCATGTGAGTGCATATTGCGTACGCAGGTACGTACGACGAGGAGCTGCTGCTGGGGTCGCGCGTGCTAGTGTTCTCGATGAGCGCGGAGGCGCCGTGCTTCGCCGCCATGGTGCTGGCCGCGCACTACATGGGGCTGCGGCCCGCCGCCACCGTGCTGCTGGTGCAGCCCATGGACCCCGCCGCCACGCACCTGCACTCGGTACGCTGCTCGCCGCCCCCACACCACCCACACCATACATCGTACACACCCATTCACTCGTCATCAACGTTGTAATCGTTCGAGGACGTCACTCACGCAGATCATCAGAAGAATAGCCACGACCACACTACTGGTTGAAAAAGTTTGTTATAACTTCGTTGATGACTTGATTTTCGTTTCATGATTTATTAGATGTGTCGCATTGGTAGCAAAATGTCTCTCGTTAGATACATCTGTACGATCTACACATTCACACTGTTTTAACACGCCATATACCATTTTGTAAAAACAAGCGAATTTATATTTTTGTTTCAAACTAGCTGTTCCACGCTACTTCACCCGCGTTTAACTTAGTTTTTTATACGCAACAATATTTTTTTTTAAAATAGCCTAAGTTATCCTTATAACATCAGCTATTATGAGAAAATAAAGCAATGAATTTAAAGAAATCAGTCTAATATTATACTGATTTTACATTTTTAAATGCTGGCAACCCTTTTCTACCTTCAACCTATTTTACGGGGAATACTTCGTTTTGTATAACCCACCGTTTAATAATATTGATAGTTTCTTGCCCAATCGATTTCGCATGTTAAACACATGCAAAATCGGGAATCGAAGGTTGGACAGCATGCATTTGTTTTTCACTTCCTACAAAGCGTTCCTTCATACTTACTTTCCAACTGGTGATAAATGACGCATTAAGAAATATTCCCCCAATAACAGAAGTTCTAATTAGTGCCCACCGCAATGTAACACATTTTAATCACTCAGAATATACAAACTTGAAAACATTCAATCTGAATTCGGACTGCCTAAACCCAATCTAATTCAAGATATTCAAACTAGCTGGAACTCAATATATTACCTAAGAATATTTTTCTTGTATTACATAATATAAAGAAGTTAAAGTTTGATTATTTTTAAGTATATAGTTTTTAGATTCATTAAAAGTTTATCTTATTTTATATAACTATTTGCCGAATGTCGAATAATATTTAGCTATTATTTATTCGACGAATTACAAAAAAATTCGAATAATGCAGAATATCGAATATTCGGGATATCTCTAGTCTATAGGCATAATAATTATTATAAAATATTTTGTATTTAGCTCAAGTTTAATTTTGTTTTTTCATTATAAACAGTACAGCGAGGCGGCCGTAAAAGACTACAACCGCGGGCGACATTACTTGCTGGATCTGGCGCGGCGCTCCAAGATTCCCGTGTTTGATAACGTGGAAGCCGCCATGGCGTGCGTCGTGAGGCGCCTCAGAACCGACCTGTAGAGAAAGTCTTATACAGCACAACCTAGAAACTAACGCATCACAGGGTTGAACAGACACAAAATGCGTGATTTGCGATTTGAGGCATTATTGCTCTTACAATAAGTCTCGAATTAGTGTCACGCATGTAGCACATTACTCTCATTCCGGGAACTTTACTTTTTTGTATTTAAAAAAAGCACGCTCGAAGAGGTTATGATAACATCCCGTTTTGAAAACATTCTACGACATTGTGAATCTCATTTGCTATTGAATCACTCGCGTGCTTGATACCTCTTATAATTCCATTGTACTTTTATCACAAATTACAGAATAAAGACATCACAAATTTTGAACGTCATACAATTGTAAGTTAATTCACGTGTCAAGGAGTCTCATATACATGTACTTATTTCTATCTTATTATTTGAAACGTTTTAGCCTAGTACAAACAAGTCTCTCTTTAATTTTATCACTCTCTATTGTATTATATTAAATATAATATATATAGGCACTAATTTTACAAAGAATGCGTGAGACCTGAATGGATGGTGACGGAGGAAAGGTTGTCATGATAAAAAATAGCTACAGTTTCTCTGTGATGAAATACTGAAGATGTTTGAATTATTTTGTTAATTGTCAGTGTATATATAATAATTGGTAGTTCCGAATTAAATAACAGCATTATGTGAACTGGCCAGAATGAAACTGTACGTTAGGTGGAAATAAAGCATGACATGTCAGTACACAACGGGTGTTGCATCAAGTACATACATTTAACATTTATTCCAGTTTTAAAATTTTACCAGTTTAAAAAAAATATTTAGTTATTTTAAAATTTTACTAGAATGTTAAAATAAAGACAGTTGTGGGTCGCATATACAGTTGAAAAGAAAAGATCTTTTAATGTATTGGCGTTGTGCTATTAATGAAAATAATGCAGCAATTGGTTTGGATATTGAAGAGTACAAATATGTGTTGCTCACGTAGCAAATTTAAGGATATTTGGTAATTTCGAAAATAATATTACTATGTAACAATTAATCGTTTTATTATCATATACTCATTTTAGCTGTAACGAAATTTTATGTTTCTAAAAGTTTTAATATGCTACATTAAAACGCGGTAACGCTTGGAAATTATAAATCATAGATCAGGCTTTAAAAGCCTCGATTCCATACCTACTAAACTAGGTATAGCGTAGTTAATATTAGATATTGTAAGTTCTAAATAAATTTTGACCCACTGTCGCTAAACTTATTACAATTTTATATAAAATCAGCAAATGTTATTTGCTAGTCACTCTCTCCGTTAACATTTATAAGTACTTTGTAATATTGTTTGATAGTACAAAAATCTAATTTATAGTGAAAAATGTCATTAATGATTGTAATTATATGCCATGTACGCTTATTTTAAACTAAAACATCACATGTAAATACAAAAATGTATAATATTATTAAGAGTTTTTATTTCATTGGTCTGAATGGTCAGATGGCTGTCACAGGAAGGCATTTTGTCACGAATAACTAGGAAGATTTAAGCGCTGTAGCGAAGTAAAGCCGCGACGCGAGAGCGTGCGTGCAGTGAATGCGAGTCGGGCAATTACCTGACTTTCTAATAGCCATTCTAGAGCGAGTACGACGTATCTATTACTTTTAAAAACATCTTAGGTCTAGGTGGATGAGTAGTTTTTCTTTAGTATATTTAATTACAGGATAAATATTTGAAAAATTCTGCTGTATTTGTTGCGCGGATGGATGCTTAATGAACAAACAAGGATTCACATTTATAATTTTTTACATTACCGAAGAATAATGAAAGGTTGAATTGTACCTAAGATTAATGAAATTTATTTCAATTTTTTTAATAGGTACTTAGAATTATTAAGTACTGATGTAAGTCGTAGGTAGGTAGGTATGATTAACCACGAAATTGTACGGAATATGATTACCTAGGTATTCACGTAGCGTAAAAATAATTAATTTAACTACAGAAGTACCTAATTACAGAATTTAATTAAAATTTCCTTCACTAATTAAAATATTTTAAGTTTTAATAACACAAAATATTCAAATTAAAACTTTCTTTACAAGATTTTTAGGGTTCCGTAGTCAACTAGGAACCCTTATAGTTTCGCCATGTCTGTCTGTCCGTCTGTTCGTCCTCGCTTAATCTCTGTGACCGTTGGCACTAGAAAGCTGAAATTTGGTACCAATATGTGTATCAATCACACCGACAAAGTGGTAAAATAAAAATTGGAAAAAAATGTTTTATTAGGGTAGCCCCCCCTATATGTAAAGTGGGAAGTGATTTTTTTTTAATTTCAACCCTAACGTGTGAAATATTGTTGGAAAGGTATTTAAAAATGAATAGGGGTTTACTAAAATCATTTTTTGTCATAATTTCGGAAATAATCGCTCCAAAAGTAAAAAACAATGTGCCCCCCCCCCCCCTCTAACTTTTGAACCATAAGTTTGGAAATATGAAAAAAATCTGTAAAGTAGAACTTTATAAGGACTTTCTAAGAAAATCATTTTGAACTTGGATGGAAACAACAGTACCCACTACCTGGAGCAGTTACAGGAGCGCGGAGCGCTGCTGGAGCGCGAACGTAATGGATACCCACCTTTAACACAAGTGGGAACACTTTTTGTGACGGACGGGAAACTACGGAATCCTACACTGAGCGTGGCCCGACACGCTCTTGGCAGGTTTTATTACTACGTAGAATACGATCACATTTCTGTTAGAGTTAAAAAAATATTTAGGGTTCATTCGTTGTTTACACTACATCTGCCTATTTCATCGAGTTGGGCTTGAAAAAAAAACTTGAAAATTCCCATAGTAGCGAAAATATGGTCAATCGATCATGTTCAGAATAGACACCTTATCATTTCACAATTTACTTTTTGACTTTTTATTGACAGCCCTTAGTAACCACGGAGTCAGCCGTGACGTAAGGGGAAAATATGCAAAGTAATGGGCAGTGATAAAATTTTATTTAAATTTTGTGCGCATTTTATCTAATTATTAATAATTATGTAGGCTATTAAAACTTCGGCAAGCAGCCGTCATAAAAGCACTGCAACTTCTGTACGTAATACTATTATTATTTATTCTGTGCTCTAGTCTTATAACCTCATCTCATGTAGTTTGTGTTGTAAAACAAGATGCTAATACAGTGCTATTTACCATCTAATTTTATCACCATTTACCACCAGATGGGATTGTAGTCCAGCCGTTACCGTTACAGCCATAGATATAAGAAATAAGGAGATATGCTCAGTAGTTGAAAATGTATCGGAACCCGGTGTCTCCAGTTGGCCCCTACCACGCGCCAACTACTACATATGCACATCAGTAAAAGCAATAGATACACAATCGCGCACACACTCGCATTTTATAAATCAGAACATACTACACAACCAATTATAAACCTTATCTCATCATACGCAGCGTGCATTTACCATGCACCGTACAAAACTTATTCGCACAAAAACATCTGTCGCTATCATTCACTCATAAAAGCCGGCAGCGGCTGCTACACGAAACTATCGTGTGAGTGAGAGTATCAGTAAAACACTTATCCATTGCGCTATTAGACCAGCTGATTCACAGGTCGATTTGTACTAAGCAAGCAATGGTTTTTGTTCCTAATGAAAACATTTGATTTGGTTTTCATCGTGTTTCTAGTACCACGAAGTAATGTTTTAATAAATTGAATAAGAAAAACATTAATATTTTAGTACTTACGTGTGAAATGAGATGCCATCTTTCATGTAATTCACAATACAGCTGTTATTTTTGCAAACAATCACTGAACAACGCGGCATTTTGTCAAAAATCACGAGCAGTGAAGACGTCACAAGTTGACATTCGACTAATTACCGAAACTGGCATCAGGCCGCTTTGCGGCCAGATGCGTTCGCAAGTGCCACGCCTCCTTGCCATATCTCCTGTTGTTTATATGATCTGAGGTTACAGCCTATTCAAGTACATTGATTGTCTCGTATTTGCCATAGTTGCAATGCTGGGCAAGCGGGACGGCAACCGCAGTATTTTTATTTTTAGTAGTTATTAGAAGGACGCTGCCGCCCATCTCTTGATTTGTCTCTCTCTGTCGCTTTTACGACATCCGCGGAATATGGTGTATAGGATGTTCTTACACCGCCTCTGCACGATGAAGTCCAGCACTGGCTTATTTTAAAAAGTACCAACTGTCAACAGTGCAAAAAATTACCATCTCATACTTACGCATGCACTTATTGTGTACAGATCGGTAAACGGCAGCTTCGTGTCTTGAATGATTTGTTCTTGAAGCTCGCGACCGGTGGTGGCAACGAATTTAAAGTATAAAAATACAAATTTAAACTGGTGATGATGTGCATAATATGCAGTGTACAGTAGTCGAGAAAGGACTCCTTTAAAGCACGGCACGCCTACATTATTTAGCTCAAGAATGTGGTTAAGAGCGACAAACGAGTCAACAATCCACCTGATTGTTTGTGGCTACTTCAGCTCATGAACACCCGTAGTTCTTTAAATAAAGAATGCCACAACAATGTCAATGTCAACATACAAAAAAAAACGATCTCTAAAAAATGACGACATATAATTACTGGTTCTCTACACTTTAAACTGGAATAAACAGTACACCCGGTTCTACTGCTTAGCGGCAGAAATAGGTAGGAGTGTTGACCAACCCACGAATGCAAGGTAGGAATAGGGGCTTAGTAATTTCCGGTCGAAAACTGACTGCTCCCATACACGCTGACGTTCCACCAGAAACAGGCAGTAAGAGGTAGCAGCAGAAGCGCCGCGCGGAAATGGATCGCGGACCGATGAGTGCGTGTTGGAGGTCGACAAACTACCAATTACCTATTAACCTTTTGAGCGCCACGCCAAAAACTCACTACCGTGTCCTGTACGCCAAAGCGAAAAGTAAACAAAAATACCTACGAAAAAAACAGTGCTGCCAAGAGTTGATATATCGATAACACAAAATAACTTGTTTTTGTTGG